CGAATTAGATTTGTAAAGATGGGTTAAATTAAATTGAGTCAAAAGATTCTCGATTTCTTCTTCATAATCTGACATATATATTTCTTTGAATTGTTAAAAGAAATTATTTTGAAAATTTAAAAATTCAAAATTAAAAAGTTTTATTTCTATTTTAAAATTAAAATTATAATTAATCAAAATTTTGTTGTCGTGGGTTCGTAAATTCTTTGTTACTCTTTATTTTTGATTTCAGTCTTTTCGGCAAACCGTTTTGGAATTGCAAAAGAACAAACATCTGAATTTAAGTCTTCCCAGTAAATCAAAAATTAGAAATTACAAAAGATCAAAAATCCAAAAATCTTAACTATGGAACACAAATTACAAAATGTATAAAGAGAAAGGACAGTAGTCTTTCTCCACGCGTTGTTTCTTGTTATTCCTTTTACTCAGCCAATTCGAAGTGGACAGTATCTGGAACGTTTCATAGCATCACTGATACTCCAAAATTCACTTTTCCGAAGAATTCCCTTTTTCGAACTTCCTTCAGTCTTTTGAAATTTTCGCGACGGATTACGACTGTTACAACTCTCCCGAAACTTATGCACTCTGAGCATCCGAACGACTGCGCCAATTATATTTTCGATTCAGAAACTTGTATTTTAAAAAACATTTATTTTATTGATTAAAATACAGAGGTGACAAAAGAAAATACGTGGATCAAATTGCTACAGGGAAAAGCCAGACAACAAATGAACGTTCCTTATGGGACTGCCTTGGCTTAAATAAGAATTTAATGCCGATATAGCAATTTGATGTTTACTTTACAACAATGTATTTAAAAAGTCATAGAGGAAAGGGGTAAGCACATATCCTGTTCACAATCCGATGTCCACAGGTGCAGGTAAATTTATCACCTTTCCCTATCAAATAGCATTGAAAGGTGATTTTACCTGTACCTACCTGTGGACGTCGGATTGTGAACGGATAATATCCGGTCTTCAAAAAAAAAAGCAATCGAAGATTGCTTTGAATACGAAAACGTATGTCGCATTATTGTTTCTTTATTGGTCAGGATTTTTGACATGTCATTTTGACATTAAAGTTCATTGACAAAATTGAAGAAAAATAGTGCTAAGACATACATTTAAAAAACCATAGCAATCTTTGATTAGTTTTTTTTTTTGAAGACCCGATACCTACCTAATATAAAAACTAATATCTTGCTTCATATGGTAAAAACACAGTAATACTTCGCGTAAGAAAATAATGCATTATTAATTGATTTTATATCGAGCATAATTTTTTGTAACTAAGATTAGAAGGCGACATTTTCAAAACTTTTATCCTTTTTATATAAAAAAAACTAATTATATCGAAAATTAGATGAAAGTCTTTATAGTTCAGTAGAGTCTATAGTGATTGTCAAGAATTTTATTCAAGATTAGGATTTTAACTGTTCTGAAACTGATATCGAACCTTTTCTTTTTATTAATTTCATTGAGTGCAACAATAAGAAATTGCAATAGGTACCTATCTAAGTTTAGTTTAGGGTAAGTTTTGGTTAGTTAGGTGTTTATTGTTAATTGAATTGTCGATTTCATGATTCATAAATGCATCAATTGCTTGCAAAAAAAAAACAGGCATTTGGAGTTTTTAACAATTTTGATAGAAAGTGTCAAGGACAATTTTTAGTAAAAACACTCAAAAGTTTAATTAATGCCCCACAACACTGCCATTACTTGCATATCAAACTATAGTGTAGGGTCTATCAGCAAGTAATGTGGTTTTTTATGTATAAGTTTCTATACGCTATTAGGGTTCCTGAACATTTCAACTCAACCATATCATGGGTCCGTTACACTAGCCCTCCCCGGTTTCCCAATAGGCTCAATATTTTAGCACCCTATTGCACCCACCTAGCACCTCCTAGCACCCAACTAACAGAGCTAGCACCACACCCCCTAGCGAGTTATAGAATATTTTCACCGGTGGGGGGGGGGGGGGGGGGGCTAATGTAACGCGAGCCCCCCCCCCGGCTTTCCAACAGGTCCAATTTTTTAGCACCCTATTGCACCCATCTACCACCCAACTTACAAGGCTAGCACCACACCCTCCAGTGAGTTATGGAACATTTCCACCAGGGGGGGGGGGGGGGCTAATGTAACGCGAGCCCCCCCCCCCCGGTTTCCAATAGGTCCAATTTTTCAGCACCTTATTGCACCCACCTAGCACTACCTAGCACCCAACTTATAGAGCTAGCACCACATTCCCCAGCGAGTTATAGGATATTTTCACCGGGGAAAGCTAATGTAACGCGAGCCCCCCTCTCCCGTTTTTCCAATAGGTCCAATTTTTTAGCGCTCTATTGCACCCATCTAGCACTACCTAGCACCCAACTTACAGAGCTAGCACCACACTCCCCTGCGAGTTATAGAAAATTTTCACCGGGGTGGGGGGTTAATTAAACGCGAGCTCTTGTTGTTTTTCCAGTGGGTTCAATTTTTTAGCACCCTATGGCACCCACCTAGCACTACCTAGCACCCAACTTACACGGTTTATACCACACCCTCCAGCGAATTGTAGAAAACTTTTACCGAGAGGTTCTAATTGGTCTGTTCGTAGAGTAATCACAAACCAAATGCAATGCAAAAAACTATTTCTGATTGTTTTCAGCCAATGAAATTTGCTCTGACTGATTTGTGATTCTTCTACTAACCGACCTTATGAAACGCGAGCGCTTCCCCCCCACCGTTCTCATATTTCTGTTCAAACTATGGCACTGTCCACTATACACTTACCTAGCACCCGACTTACAGGGCTAGCTTCACACCCCTTTGCGAGTTGTAGAAAATTTTTCTCGTCTGTTATTGCCGGCCTCATTGCGTTCGGCAGGCAAACTTACAGACTCGTCACAAAAGTACCATTTTTACTCCTAATAAAACAATATACTATTTTTATTTCCTCTTTGTATAATTTTTTCCAATTACTTTAACACAAATAATGTCCTTGCATTGCCGATATCCTATCGAAAATGTCATAATATACCGTAAGCACCATTAAAGATTCTAAAGTTGCCGTCACTTGATCGATACTGTTCAGTGATGAAATTAGATGAGACATGAAGAAGCGGCAAAAAAAGTTACCTAGATCCTCAAAATTTCAATTATATTTGGTGACGCGTTCCGGAATTATCACCTGGGTCAAACGTTGTGGGACACCCTGTATAAATAGATGTGGTGGAAAAAAAAAAGACAAAAATTTTCTTAATTTAATCTAGTGTGAACCACTTTTAATGAATACACCCCGATATCTCAGTTAATAATATTGCGATTGAATTCAAATTTTGGAGGTGATTGTATGATGGAAAAATGAAGTATGTGACATAGTAAACATTTTGATCTATCATTGGCGTGCGGTGTTGGGACGTAAAAAGGTTTTTTTTTTGGGAAAAAGATATAAGGGCTTATTTTAGATATTTTTTTGTATCAGATATAGAATCAGCACTCCCAAAAACCCTTTAATTTATATTTTCAAAATTTCAAAAACTGATTTTAGCAACAAAAAAAAGTACATTTGTTTTAATTCACTTTTTCCAATAAGTTGTTTATTTCTGATGATAGGTAACCAATATTTTTTAAAAAATCTGATGTTTTCAACATTTCCAATTTCTAATGAAAAATGCGAGAATGTTAAAAGTTTAAAACAACCCCTCTTTACCCCCCAACACTGCACGCCAATGGTAAATAAAAATGTCTACTATGTCAAATACTTCATTTTTCTAAAGGTGCGTCCAGACTAGAGCATTCGGGCCGAATGAGCACCGCCGAATGAGCAAATTGAGGCAAAATAAATACACAGCAACAACTGCCTCATGTCGTACGAACACTCATCCACAGTCCACACTTGAATGCTCATTCTGCCTCGGCATGCTCAGTGCTTGCTCATGCGGGCCGAAAGCTCTAGTCTGGACGCACCTTTACATACAACAATCTCCAAAAATTGAATTAAATCGCAAAATTATTAACTGAGTTATCGGGGTGTATTCATGAAAAGCAGGACACAGTGTATTTATCTCTTTCATCCTTCGTATTAGGTCAAAAGTTTAATCAATAACAACAATTAGCCTCCTCCCCCGGAGAAAATTTTCTATAACTCGCAGGGGAGTGTGGTGCTAGCTCTGTAAGTTGGGCGCTAGGTGGGTGCTAAAAAATTGGACCTATTGGCAAAAAGATGGGGGCTCGCGTTGAATTAACCCCCCACCACGGTGAAAATGTTCTATAACTCTCAGGGGAGTGTGGTGCTAGCTCTGTAAGTTAGGTGCTAAGTAGTGCTAGGTGGGTGCAATAGAGTGCTAAAAAATTTAACCTATTTCCAAACGATGAAAATGTCCTATAACTCGCTCGGAGTTATGGTGCTAGCTCTGTAAGTTGGGTGCTAGGTGGGGAAAAAATGGGACCTATTGGAAAAGTGGGGGGCTCGCGTTACATTAAACCCCCCCCCACGGTGAAAATGTTCTATAACTCGAAGGGGGGTGTGGTGCTAGCCCTGTAAGTTGGGTGCTAGGTAGTGGTAGGTGAATGCAATATAGCGCTAAAAAATAGGACCGTTTGGAAAAACAGGGGGGGTTGGTTGGGCTCGCGTTACATTGGCTTTCCCCGGTGAAAATGTCCTATAACTTGCTGGGGGATGTGGTGCTAGCTCTATAAGTTGGGTGCTAGGTAGTGCTAGGTGGGTGCAATAGGGTGCTAAAAAATTGGACCTATTGGAAACCGGGGGGGGGGGGGGGGGGGGGGGCTCGCGTTACATTATAATACATCGTTAAGACATGCAGTTACATATTTATAATTAAAAAAAAACATTCCATATAAAAATTGAGAAACAAGATTTAGACATTATTATCTTGGAATAATAATTATTATTAAAAGAAAATTGTCAATATATCTTAGAATATGTTTGAAATAATGAAAAAAAATAAAATATATTAACAATTCTAAATATAGTTTTAAAAAACAAACAGTGCTGCGATTGTTAGATGTAATAAATAAAAATAAGCCTTTCGCAGAATGTATGATATATTTAATTATTTTAAAAATATGAAATAAAAATACAATTTGTCCAAAATTGATTTTTTATACCGTTTAATCACTTGGACAAAATGTATGGAAAACCATTTATAATATTGAATTTTAAAAAACATTACCTATATATTCTTTAAATAGAAATAAAAAATCTATATAATTAATTTGTTTATTGTTTCATTATAGCAGTTGTTGATAATCCTTGATTTGGCATTATCATTGTTCTAAGTTCATCGGCAATTTGGAAACTCTTATAAAGTCCGTCATCAAACGGGAAGTTAACATTTATGTTAAAACATTTAATTGTCGAAATTGAGCTTCCTAAAGATTTATCAGATAAATGAATTTTACAGTTATCACAAGATTGTAAAAATATTTCAACAATTTTTTCAAAGCAATGCATATTACAATCTTCACTTTCTCGAGCCTCTACTTTTGATGCGTTCCTGAATAATACCGAAACTTTTTTGCAATTTTCCAAACTTATATTGTTAACAAGATTTTCCACTATTATGGTGCTATCTACGCAATTTCTAATGGCCACGTCTTCGTTTTTTACTGCGGTATTTAGAACCAAATTATGACTATTTTTGTGATTCTTTATTAACCATTTATTTTCTTGTTTTTCAAAAACTCTTACTGATTCTTCATGTGGTGGCGTTTTATAATTCGAAATACTTTCTAATTGAGCAAATTCATTTACTAAAGTTACACGTTTTTCACTTTTATTTACAAGAAAAGAGTCTCCTAATAGATTAATCATTGGCAATGAATCGATGCCTGTCCAAACAACTCCATTTTGAAAAAAGTTTGCTATGAAAATAGAAAGTTCTTCATAAGTTTCATTCCAATATTTCAACCATTCAAAATGTGTTTTTCCCAAATGTTCAATTTCACAAAGGGCTTTTTGTTTATAAAACACGATATAATTATTCAATTTGCTTACGAATTTTTCCTGATCAGTTTCTCTGACCCATTCAAAAATTTTGATACTTTTACTTATTAACGTAATTTGAAAAATATGATCGCTTGCTTTGGTTTCAAATGCAGTGACTTGCTCAATTTCTCGAAACAGTGGGTCCATTAAATACTCTTCAGCCAGTGGATTCGAGGGCTTGCGGTATTTTTCTATGTTTAGCACCAACTCCAACGAGTTTTTAAATACATTATCAACATTTAAACTTTGTTCGAAAATGGCTCCTCCAATGGTTTGAGAATACTTGAGATATTGGGCAAGAGAACTATTGTAAATGCTGGATAGTGTAGCGTAGGCGATATTTGTACTCATAATTTTGAATGTATTTTTGAAAAACTTTTGAGAAATGTCAAAACTAACGTTATCTAGCATTGACAGCCTGACAGTCGCAAAAATCAAAATCTACAGGATTTCTGAAAATTAAATACACCATACACCTAATGTCTGCGCAGCAGTTGTGAAAAAAATGGCTGATTTCATGCATAAAATACTCAACTGCGTGCGGAACTTTTTGGAAGTGTGATCGTCTTGCAAGTCGTACACGAAAATCGAGAATGACCAAACCACCGCCACTGGATATTTCAATATAAATCGATATTCCAAGATGGGAGGATAAAATGACGGGAGCCCTGGCCAATAGCGAGATGTAAGGTGACGTCATAGAGAAATATAATAGTAGTAAACTACGAGAGAAGTCATACCCCTGTATATGCTTTTCACTTATTATTGGCGTAGCATTATCCATGGAAATTTGGCAGGTGACCCTCGTATAATAATGACAGTATATGTCAAATTCAGACAAACAGTTTTAAGTGTAGTTTACATAATTTCGTAAGTGCCGAGGTATTAAAATTTTCTGGCCTATCTGGCAAATCAAATTTGACACATTTTTCAATGCATTTTTCAATAATGCTATATTATAAACGGTACCTAACTATTTTGCGTACCTGCAAAATCTAATGACATTTTTTAGAATTCGGCATTGTCAAATTTCTTTCGTATTGAAGCTGCCGAAAATAATCTCAGAAGAAAAAAACAGGGAAATATTAAAATGTCATGGTTATTCAAAAAAAATAAACCAGAGGCTCTCCAGGGAACAACTGAAGCCCAACTTGCAGATATATTTGAGGTAGATATAACTTAAATGTAGATGTGAAGACATTTCTTACCCAACCAACTCTCTGAGCATCACAAATCCATTTCATACTTACAGTTAGGTACTCATACCACAGAAAAATGTTCGGCCGCTAAACTTGAAATATTTGAACCTATTTGTGAATTATATGACAAATTTTTTTCTGTATTCAATGCTGAATAAGATATGTGGCAAAAGAAATGGACTAATAATAATATTGGTAGTGGTAACCATTTGCCAAGAACGGCCATTGACGCGTTTTTAAATAAAGATGAGTCCTTTTTTCCAATTAATAAAGATCTTTTACAAATATTAGCAACTTTATCTTGCTCTACGACAACACCAGAGAGATCTTTTTCGACTCTAATAGCCGTTTGCATCGAACATTTTAAGGGAGGTTTAACGATAATCAACGTTTAAAGTGACTTTATTACATGTAAAAATGTCACTTTAAACGTTGGTTATTGGGTTATCGTTAAACCTCCCTTCGGTGCAAACGGCCATAAGACGCCTAAAATCTTGGCTAAGAAATTCAATGGTGAACGCACGTTTGAAAGGTTTAGCTCTAATTCACAGAGAAAATAGTGTTAGTTCCAAGGATGTCATAAATAGGTAGATTCTGTCTAAAAAAACGCAATGTAATCATATGAACTTTTTTAAATAAGAATATTGTCGTTTCTAAATTAATCCGATTTTTTCTTGCCCAGCCCCCCCCCCCCCCATGACCAACCCCTAGCTACGGCCCTGCTCCAGACCATTGGTGTAGATGTAAAACAGACGTTATTAGATGTAGGTATAGTTTGCGTTTGAACAATAATATTAGTTATTTACCTTTAACAAGGGCGGAAAGTTATACTTTCCTGCACGCAACGGCATTTGCACGAACGACGAGCCAGCGGAATTCGTGCAAGCCGCAAGTGCGGAAAACATACTTTATGCTCGTGTCAGGCCCATTTTTTCTATGAGCGTGTGAAAAACGCGTCTTCACGCAACGACTTGCGAGCGGAAAGTAGCACATTTTCGCAGATACCACTCTTTTCGACTCGGTTCAACTTTGTTTGAGTCTCCTATCATTACACAAACACAGATAATTGGAGTGAATGAAGCTTCTTGGGATAAAGCAACAGTCAGCAACACAATAAATCCAATGTAAACTTGTAAACAATTCTCGCCAAGGCGCCAGATGATTTTTCGCTCCGCACAGTGACGTCACAAGTGGTACTCTCGCCACAGGGGGTCGTTTTGCTAGCCTCGCTAATTTCGTTTTTTTGTTTTCGATTTATCAGAAAAAATAAAGGGTTTGTTTCTAGATGTTTTATCGCTTAATACGTGTTTTGTGGACCTAAAACCACCACTTTTTATTACAATTGAAAAATAGTGAACATCCCTATTAACATTAGGTAGGTTTCATGTTATGTAGACTTGTAGACAGATTAGTCACTTTATTAAGTTAAACGTTAAACAAGATATACAGTCTCATTGAACACTTTATAGAAGGGAAAATAAAAGAGAACCTAATATGACCGGAGCATGCTCAACAAAAACGGAACATTGCCTTAACAGATCGGCCATTCGCGCCATCTGCGACAATTTTCAAAAAATGTAAAAGTTAACATAAAGCTTCGATTACCAGAAATTACCCGATTGATAAAATGTTAGAAAATTACCCCGCTTTCAGTCAAATTACCCGCAAATCGGGTAATTACCCGCATATTGGCAACACTGCAACTAATTCCTGAATTGAATTTATTTGAAGAGAAATGTGTAATAATCATGGACAACGCTCCATATCATTCAGAGCAGAAGGATAAACCACCTTCATTCTCTTTAAACAAAGACAAAATGCAGGAATGGTTGGTTAAACATAACGTAAACTTCGACACAAAAATGACCAAAAAACAACTATGGGACCTAACTCAACCATTTCGGAATGGACCAAAAAAGATTTTCCATATTTTGAATTTTTTTTTTTGCCTATATTGTGAAAATGAACTATTTCCCAAAAATAAAAAAATCCACGGAAAAAATTGAAAAAATAAGAGCACTATTCTCTAGATAATCGATCAAAGAATGTTTATGCCAAATTTCAGCAAATTCTGATGTGCCGTTTTTTTTTGTAGTCTAAAACCGATTTTGGAATAAAATTACAGATATTTTGGCAAATATGGTTCAGGCTTTTTTTCGAAGATGGCGCCACCAGTCAATTCGTGATGTCATAATTAGGCGTTTTCGAAAACCCCGAACCGTTGGAGCAGCAGCTGATGTAGGTTGTTCAGCGTTTCCAAAAAAGCCTATTGACAACAGAACCTCTTTCTCACCTTGTATATTTGTTTTTTTTTTATTATTGGTTTATAAAATAATAGGCACAAAGCATGCTGTGCCATTAGTTTCCATTGAAAATAAATAAAGTATCTATTTTACGTACCTAGGTATACATAAAAAAATTGGATTGTGTTTTGTAGGACAAAATGTCTTTGAAAAAATAAAAAGCTTCAATAATAATTATTAAAATTTATTTACAAAAGGTGGAAAGTGCTAAAATTAGAGTTTTTCCTTTGTGTTTGTTCTTGCATATTAGTGCAATAATAATATCCACCAATGCAGTAGAGCATTCAATTTAGGTATCTGGCGATTTGCATTTCTTTTACTAGTTCTTGGATCTTCTACCAATATCTGAAATTGTGTTAGACTCCTGGTAAGACTATTTTTTTATTATTCCTCCGAGTATTCTTCTATTTAAAACCCATTCATGTGCCAATTGCTTCCTGAAAATCTCATAGGTACCTACCACAACTAAACATACCTCAAAAACAAGCTATACAACAAAACATCACTTTTACAGAGTAGAACAAAATTTGAAGTCATACCAGGCCAGGCATGGAAATACAAATCCCTCCATAATCCCATTAGCCAATCAGTGCGAACTGAGTGAAAAAAGTTGCACTGATTCTGCAAATTGAAATCGCTATAATATTTAAAATGCTCCACTGTAAAAATGCTTTCATCTTGGCGCCATCTATAATTTTTTTTTAGAACTAAAATATAATTTGAAGGGGGGGCCGTTGAGGCCTTAAAATAGGATATAAAAAGTACGTTTTATATAGGTACGTCCATAAGACGTTCTAAATACTTCAATAATGTACGTAAATAAAACGTTTTACCCGGAATTTGGACGTACTATGATGTAGTACTAACTAAATAGGTATTGAAAACTCTATGCCCGGTATTCATAGTAGTACGGGATACGAGGCCTATTTCATCAAATCATTTTACACCGTCTTGCATTGTTATCATCAGTTAGATAAAATGGTACTGAAACGCACTTGTGCAGGGAAATAGATGGGAGTGGGGGATTTCGCTGAAAAAAATGTTTCAGAAAATGTCGTCATAAATTAGGAAAATATATAATTATACACCGTCTTGCATTTCTTTATTGAGTCAGTTTGTACACAAACAAAATTGAATTACCACATGCAAGACGTTTTTATGGGGGTTTTAGGGTTGCAATAGAAGATGGAAATTGTCAATTTGTGAGAGGGGTGGAAAATCATTTTACACCACTCCATTGTTGATTTAGATTAAAGCTTGAATGTAGAATAGCTACTGGATACTGATACAAGACGTCCTGTGGAGGGATAACGGGCTGCAAGACGGATGTCAATGCGTTGTCTCATGAGGGAGTGAAAATTTATTTTACACCACTTCATGCTTATGTCCGCCGGAAGAATATATGTTAAAAAATGGTAATACATCAGTCCAAGACGTTTTTTCGGGGAAAAAAGTTAATAAATCCGTTTTCTTTTTTTACTGAACTTTTGAGTTATTTACTGAACCGTTCACTGTTCATTCTTTTCTAAATCATACAGATGGAAAAGGACAGTTGACATAGCAGCTCAACAGGGGAGTCTGCTGAATACAGGAATTATAATTTCTGTTTACAATTCCAGGCAGATCATTTTTTTGCTGCTTTAAAATCAAATTTCTCAAATTTACCTAATACCTACTTACAATCCGTTAGGTGTTATGACATATCCACCTCAAAAAAAAAATAAAATGATTTTAAGCTGTCAGAAAAAGAACAATTTTCAACCTTTTTTTTTTGATGTCCGTAGAGTCATTCAAATATACATATTAAGAGAATTTTGCAAAATAGAATTATTCTACGTGGTAAAAGCAAAAATATCTAAAATTATTGTGCGTAA